TCATTACTAGAACCCCTTCCATCCACCACATCACTCCTGTCCTGCAACAGCTTCACTGGCTCCCGATCAAGTTCCGTATTAACTACAAGATCCTTCTGCTCACATTCAAAGCCATCCACAGCTCTGCTCCACCATACATCTCAGACCTTCTTCATGTCGCTGTTCCCTCCTGCTTCCTCAGATCGTCCTCCTCCATTCATCTGACTGTCCCCTCCGCCCGTCTCGCCACCATGGGGTACAGAGCTTTCAGTCGCTCTGCTCCCCAGCTCTGGAACTCTCTAGCCCCCTCTTGAGGAACATCAATTCACTCCCACAATTCAAATCTGCACTTAAAACTCATCTGTTTAAAATTGCCTTCTCCATCTGATATTTCACTGCTGTATTTTAACTTCTTAATGTTTTAATGTTATTGTTTTTTTTAATGCTGTGTTGTTATCTTTGTATTCACTGTAAGGTGTCCTTGGGTGACAGAAAGGTGCCTATGAAATAAAATGTATTATTATTATTATTATTAAAAAACATACTATAATAATTAAAATGATACTATGTAATACTTCTGTGGTTGTTCCGGGGGATACTATTGAGCATAAATGTCCCTGTGTTGAATTGTTGCATTGAAAATCAACAGACATTTGCATAAAGAAAAAAAAAACATTGGTCGACTCCCATGTTTGTAAGATGTCAAATGGAAAACTATGGAAAATCCAAATTAAAACAAATCTTGCTTACCTGCAATAGTTGTGGCTGCCTAATCCGCCCTCTCCGCTGGGGTACTTGAGCGTATTGTACGGGTGCTGGAAGGTCTCATTCCAGAAGAGACAGGGTTTCCCTCCATACAGACTAGTCTGGTTCTGGAGCCCCCTGTAGTCCTCTCCATTGGCTGTATAACACTCTGTAAACAGAGACATGAAACAAATAAAGTTTGGGAAAAATAAACTAAATCAGAATCTGATGCATACTATCAGGGAGTAGATGTGTATTAAACAGAAAATCAAGCACTTGGCAAGAGATTTTAAACAGGCATGTAATACGTGACCTGCTTCATGGAGAGTCTGGACCCGGTGACTTGGTGACTGTGCATTTGGGAATGATCACAGATGTTAAGTCTGAAGTAATTGTACTCTTTGCCCAGACATAATTAATTAGAAACTGTGGTCAGAGTTTTAAGGAAATATCAATCAAAGTATTTTTCAATCAATATCAGCACACGGAAAAAGAGAGAGAAAAAAATGCCTCCTAGATGTTGAATTTCCAGGAACTGTATTTAAAGTTCCCTGACTTCGTCATAAAAATGAGGGAATTCAAATAAAAATGGTAACAGGAGCATTTCAAGCCATCACTGTGTATACCTATAATATAGAATAGAATACAATAGAATAGAATAGCCTTTATTGTCCTTGTACAGTGTACAACGAGATTTGAGCGCTACTCACTTGGTGCAAAAAAAGAGTAGAAGACAACAGTATATCAAACATATAACAACATATCTTTGGTGTAGTTAGTTATTGCACATAGTTGTATGTTTATTGCACAGTGATCAATATGATCAGTAAAGTGTGAAATTGTGTGAACTATTTTAACTGGTTTTGTTTCTATTGTTTACTGCTGAGATAGCTTTCGGGAAGAAGCTATCTCTGAGTCTGTTTGTCCTGGTTTTGTGTGACCTGTACCGTCTGCCTGACGGTAACATGTCGAACAGAGAGTTACTGGGGTGGGACGGGTCCTTTATGATGTTGCTAGCTCTGCTGAGGTAGCGGGAGTTGGCAATGTCCTCCAGGCTGGGCAGAGAGCAGCCAGTGATCTTCTGGGCTGTGTTGATGACTCTCTGCAGAGCTTTCCTGTCTGCAGCTGAGCACCCTGCGT